AGACACAATAAAAGACCTAAATAAATAGAAAAATATTCCCTCTTAATGAATAGGGAGATGCAATATAGTGAAAAACTATAATGCTACCAAAAGCAATCTACTTGTACGCATTTCCAATCCAGACATTAAATTCACTTTTAAAGATCAAAAGGGAAATTGTCAAGTTTATTTGGAGAGGAAAGAGACCTTGAATAAGCAAAGCACTTCTGAAAAATTAAAATGAAGTGGGAGGGATAGGACTCCCTGAACTCAAAACCTACTACTACACAGCGATAATAACAAAAAACAGCATGATGAATGTTAGGTACACAGACCAAAGGAACAGATTCGAGCACCCAGAAATAGACCTGTCTATGGTCACTTGATATTCAACAAGGAAATAAAACCTATCAAATGGGACAATGACAACCTCTTCAATAAATTATGCTGACAAAACTGGACTGCTACCTCCAGAAAGCTGAAACAGGATCCACATCTCACACCATACACAAAAATGAACTCAAGGTAGATCAGAGATCTGGAGTAAAACCCAAAACCACAAATTTCATAAGAGACAAACTGGACCAAACTTACAAGGCCTAGTCTATGGTATAAAAAGACCAACAAATCCAGCTAGAAACGCACAATCTGGAGAGGATAAAATTGATGAATGGGCCTTTCTAAAGATTATATCCCTGTGCTCATTTTACAATTGTGTAAAAAGTATAACTACTGATTGGGGAAAAAACCCATTTGGCAATATCATCTCAGAAAAGAATATCATAACAAAAATTTAGTGAATACTCCTGGGTTATCAGAACAATGGGATATGATACAATCCTGTTTCTGGATCTGAATGACAGCTGCTTGGGTTTATTCAATTTCTTTTGTTCTGTATGTATGTTTATTGCTACGTGCCATTGAGTTGCCTGTAACTCGTAGAGACTATGTGAACAATAATTCTGAAATTTGCCATATCCTGAGCCAGTCTCATTGACTCTGACACACCTATCCTTACCCCAGTAACTGTGTTAATCCATCTCATCCAGGGTTGTCTTCTACTGTGCTGTCCTTCCACCCTTCCAAACATGATGTTCTTCTCCAAGGACCAGTCCCTCCTGGCAACATGCACAATGTGAGAAAGAGCTTCAAAATCCTAGATTTCAAGAAGAAACTTGGTTTCACCTTCTCCAAGGCAGACCTGTTTGTTGTTCTGGTGGCCCATTGTATGTTCTATACTCTTCTCCAGCACCACAACTCAAAGGCATCAATTCTTCTCTTATTTTAGTCATTGTTCAGTTCTGATGCATAGCAAGTAATTGTGAAGACCATAGCCTGCATCCTAGTAAAATAAAAGCATGCAAAAATAATCTTATATGGATCCTAGAGCTAAAAGAAAGTCAATTAAGCCTCTGGTAAATACTACAGGAACATATGTTGGGTGTGAGGAAAATTTTTTAATGCACATACAATTCTCTAATAATAAGGACAATATATATTGTTGTTGTGTGCCATCAAGTCATCTGTGACTCATAGCGACCCTATGTAAAATGGCTCTGAACTCTGTTCTAGCCTAAGCCAATCTTATTGTCTCTGACACACCTAAGCCAATTACCCCACTCAGTGAATCAATCCATCTCATTGAGGGTGGGTCTTCTTCTCTTGCACTGTCCCTCCATCCTCTCAAGCATAATGTCCCTCTCCCTCTTCAAGGACTGGTCTCTCCTTGGAACATGCCCAAAGTGTGGATGGAGTTTCATAATTCAGAATTGCTCCAAGGAGCAGCCTAGTTTCACTCTCTCTAGGACAAACTTGTTTGTTCTCCTAGCAGTCCATGCTATATTCAATACTCTTCTCTAGCACCACAGCTCAAAGGCATCAGTTCTCTTTCTATTATCCCTAGTCATTGTCCAGCTTTCTGATGCATAGCACGTAATTTTGAAGGCCATGGCTTGGATCAGATGCTCCTTAGTCTCCAAACTGACATTGTGACATCATTGCTCTTCAATACTCTGGAGATGTCCCTGACAGCCAACTTTCCCAATGCAACTTGTATCTTGATTTCTTGGCTGCTGATACCAAAAGTGTTGATTGTGGAGCTAAGCAAATTAAAGCTCTTAACAACCTCAATCCCTACCCTAAAGAAACCAGAACTGCCACCCAAGCAGATATATGCACACCTATGTTTATTGTGGCTTCGTTCACAAAAGCAAAGAGTTGGAAACAACCCAAGTGACCATCAACAAATGAATGGATAGAGAAGCTGTGTTATATTCACACAATGGAATACTATGCAGCACTGAAAACCAGAGAACTAATGAAATAATATACAAAATGGGTGTCCATGGTGGACATTATGCTCAGTGAAATATCTGTTACAAAAAGACAAACACTGCATAAAACAAGACTGACATGGTAGTTGGGGGCAAATTAAGAAAAGAGGGGATAAATAACATAGCATTGAAACAGATGATGGAGAAAATTGTGTAAAAGGAATATATGATTAAGTATTATTAGCATGACAAGAGTCCAGAATAAGAGCTGCAGAGCAAAGTGGATTGGGGCGGGTCTGTATAACAATGAAAGAATTTCTTCTCCAAAGAACAAAACTAACTGGGGGTGGGAGGGGCAGGGAGGAAAATGTGCAACAATGAATGTATGGAAATCCAAGTTCTCTATAAACTTTCACTAAAATCTCGATAAAAAACCAACAACACACCAAACTCAATCTCTTCATTATCTTTCATGATACTGCTAATTGTCCCAGTGGTGAGAATATTTGTTGTTGTTGTTGTTTATGTTCAGCTTCAATCCATATTGAAGGACACAGTCCTTGACCTTCTGCAACAAACTGTTGTTGTTATGTGCTGTCAAGTCACTTGTGACTCATAGCAACTCTATGTACAAAAACTAAACCCTGGTCTATCCTGTGCCAACCTCACTGTCTCTGACACACCTAATCCTATTAACTCAATCACTGAATTGATCTATCTCATTGAGGGTCTTCCTCTCTTGCGCTGTCCCTCCACCCTCCCAAACATGATGTTGCTCTCCAAGGACCAGTTCCTCCTTGGAATATGCCCAAAGTATGTCAGACGAAGCTTCAGAATCCTTGACTCCCAGGAACAGCCTGGTTTCACCATCTCCAGGGAAAATCTGTTTGTTCTCCTAGCAGTCCTAGCATATTCAACACTCTTCTCCAGTAGCACAGCTCAAAGGCATCAATTCTCTATCATCCCTAGTCATTGTCCAGCTCTCTGATGCATAGCACGCAATTACGAAGACTATGGCCTGGATCAGGTGCACCTTAGTCTGCAGCTTGCGGTTGTTGCTCTTCAGTACTTTGGAGCAGTCCCTGACAGCTGATTTTCTTAATGCAATTCATCCCTTGATTTCCTGGCTGCTGGTGCCAAGAGTGTTGCTTGTGGAGTAAAGCAAACTAAAGCTGTTAACAATCTCAATCTCTTCATCATCCATAATCATGCTGCCAATTGGCCCAGTGATGAGAATCTTTGTTTTCTTGATGTTGAGCTTCAATTCATGTTCTTCCTAAAACGTTATGGAAACACATCTGCCATCAGGTGGTGAGACCCAGGTTTCTATGCTTTTAACCTGGGCAGACATTTGTGACTGTTTCAGTCATTAAAAGTAAATGATATGTGATGCCCAAGGAAGGGTCTCAAAAACGCCATGGGGGCGGAGGGTGGGGGAGCCATTATGTCTCTTGGGACATTTGCTCTTGAACTTGGTCATAGCTGTAAAGAAGTCCAATCTAACAATTATTACCAACCACCAAACATGAGGATTTCACAAATCAGTAAGGGAAAGATGAGCAGTCCAATTGGGTTGGGGGATGGGGAAGATGGGAGACTCTTGAATAGACAGTTCACAAAAGAAGCTGCTGGGGTGACCAGTAGTCACAGGACAGCTACAGCTGTTCCCATTCCTGTTAGAAGGGAAAAAGAGTCAGGACACAGAGCTCAAGACCTCTGACCTGATCAGAGATCTCTTGTGGCTTAGTGGCGAAGAGTGCTAACCCAGAGTCATGCTGTTTCAAAGCACCAGTGGCTCAGTGGCAAGGTGGGCAATCTTTTCCTATGATTTACTGCCTCGGAAAACCCGCCGGAGAGTCATCTTGAGAATCTGAGCTTGACCACCGAGTTACGATCTGCAGGCACAAGCTTAGTCCGAGGGGTCGTCATATCCAAGACCCGCTCCAACCCGCAACCCAGGCCAACTCTGTTCTCTAAACGGTGTGGTCTGAACAATGACAGGCGCAGCACTGCATTCCATTGCTCCTGCCTTTCCTTGGTAGGTACTCGATTCTTCCTGCCTAGCATGAGGGCTGTGTGCGCATGCGCTCCCTGTGATTGGCGCAGCCTGGTGGCTGGTGTGGAGCACGCTGGGAAGGGTCTCGTGAGCGGGAAGCAAAGGTGTCGGCAATATGGTGAAGCTGACGGCAGAGCTGATCGAGCAGGCGGCTCAATACACCAACGCCGTGCGGGACCGAGAACTCGACCTCCGGGGTGAGTCGGGATTCGACAGAACTCCGAAAGCCGCGTGTTCGGCCTTCTAGGACTGGGGCCCGGGCGGTTCCAGAGGGGTCTCGTCGTCTCCAAAAGGCCCCGCTTCTGTTACTGTGCTCCTGCTCAAACCGCCGAGTGGCGGCTTTCACACCTACCTCGGGGCCCAGGTCAGCCGTTCTAGGCCTGGTTAGTGGAGCATTGGCGGCCCGGAAAGTGTACTTGCTGGTGGCATTAACCCTCGTGCGGCGGGTACCACGGTGCCGAGAGCGTAACTCCTGAGAAAGGAGGAGAGCTCGGAGCCAATGGTGTCCTTTCTGGTCTCAGTAACTGCTTCACCAGAACTGGCGCCATTCTTCGAGTCCTACTGTAGGTCCGGCACTAGTTATGCTTGTGAGGGAGGAGAGAGTGTTTACCTGCCTGCATTTCAGGCGAGGACGTGAGGGGGCATGCTTACATCTTGACTGCATGATGTGGTCTTATGTTCACCCCTAGGGCCAAGGGCACTGTTGCTTTTTGCTTAGATTCTTTTGCGGATTTCGGGTCAATCTTTTTTTTTTTTAAATTTTATTATTTTTGTGTGAGTGTACCGTCAAATCAGATCTGACTGGTACAGGAGGAGATTGTCCCCCCTTCCCCGGCAGAGCATCTGGTGGATTTGAACCGTGCGCCTCTGGGACTGTAGTTGCAGCTCCTTGCCACTAGGCCACCAGAGCTCCCCTTCGGGTCAATCTTAAATGTTTTCATTTCATTTGCTAGACAGTTTCAGTTCAGAGAAAACTCAGTCTTGGTACAGGTAACCACAGTCTTCAGTCTTCTGTATATTTCAGAAGTGCAATGGTTACTTTTTTTAAGAGGAGGGGAGAAATCTGTATTTATTTGCTGTTGTTGAGAATATGCATAACAATACTCAATTTCATTGTTGATATCAGATGGATCTTGATTGAAAGCAGAGAATACCAGAAAGATGTTTACTTGAGTTTTACTGAGGATGGCATGGGTAACACTCAGAAGAATGGGAATTGTGGAACATTTAACTGTACTCATGGAAAACCTATATCCAGAATGCTAAGCTTCTGTTCAAACAGAACACGGAAACACTGTGGTTTAAAACCAGGAAAAGGTTTTCTCCTGTCTACATGCCTGTTCAGTCTGCATAATGAACAGATCATTCAAAAATTTTTATTTCATGGCATCAGGATTGGAGGAAGACTCATCAACACCTTGTGTTATGTTAAGCAGATATACAACCTTGCTTCAGAAAGTGATGAAGACTCGAAGCACTCACTTCAGAACATTAAAGAGTATAGCCTTCAGTATGTCCCACAGCATTCAGTATATCAAACATCAAGAAAGAATATCACCACAGGACCAATAGGCAGCTGCGTGATAGATGGATTGACGTCATTATTTATTTCATTTTACTTGGGTCCGCAGTCAACATCCATAGTAACAGCAATCAGGGGAAATAAAAGACGTGTTTCTTTGGGAAAATCTGTCAGACACCTGTCCAAAATGGTAAAAGAGCAAAGTGTGAGTTTAAAGACCAAAGTGCACCTGACCTAAGCCATGATCTTTTCATTTACTTTGTCTACCTGAAAGTTAGGCAGTGACTAAAGAAAAGACAAACTTCAGCATGTGGCAAAGTGAATGGAAAGATGGGCTCAAGATAGCAGAGGTTGTTAGGCTGGTGTGAGATAGGGCATGTTTCAAGTCTCTTGTTCATAGGGTGGCTTATGAGTTGTTGTGGGCTTGATAGCACATAAAAGCCAACTTATGGTTTTTTCAAACAGTGTGCTTTGCCTCTCTGTCAACTCTAGGTTGGAGCTGGGAATTTAACAAAAGACGTTATCAAATGAAGAATATATAAACAAAAAGGGGCTAGCAAATCAAAGGAGTTGTATAACGTTACACCTACCTTCCAGAATTATTCTGTTTATGGGCAAGAGGCCATGATTGCTAGACTGTCCTGATGTGGTTCAGGAGTCTGGCCTCGGGTCATGAGAAGAGGTGCAGATGTCAAGGGCACTAGCAGATGATAACTGTCACAGAGCCTGAATTTTCTCATTTATTTTGGAGAAAAGGTTTGGTTTTCTATGCTTGTTTAAATTAAGACTGTTTCAACACATGTGCAACAGTGTTTTATGAGTTTTGATGGGTTTTTTTAGGGGTGTTGGGTTTTGTGTGTGGTTGTGTTTTTGTTTTTGGTTGGTTTTTTTAACTGAGAATTGTGTGAAAGTTTACAGAACACATTGGTTATACATTTTGTTTTGGATGTTTATTTGCAAGCCCCACAAATATAATAGTATTCTCCCATTCCCTTCTTTATTTCTTGTTTCCATGTCCTTTTTGCCTTCATGGCTTTATTCCTGGAAACAAGCTGCAGTTGCTCGTTTTATTTTTATTCATAGTCATCAAGTCTGTCCTGACTTCTTCTTCTTGTGTTAGGTGTCACCAAGTACAATTCATAGTGAATCTGTCAACAACAGATCTGAACCCTGGCCTATCTTGTGCCATCCTCATCATCTCTGACACACTTGAGCCCATTCCTGCATTAATTGTGTGAGTCCATTTATTGAAGGTCTTCCTCTCTTTCGTTGACTCTTGACCTTTCCAAGCATGATGTCCCTTTCCAAGAAGTAGCCTATCCTAAAAACATCCCCAAAGAGTATTATACATAATTTCTCCCTCTTTACCTTTGAGTAGCACTCTGGTTGAACTTTCCCCAAGACATACCTGTTTGTTCTTTTGGACTTCTGTGAGATACTAAATACTTTTCTCCAACCCCACAACTCAACAGAATCAATTCTTCTGTCATTTTATCCATTGCCCAGCTCTCAGATGCTTGGCAGGTGATGGAAAGATCATGACTTGAATCAGGCACAACTTCGTCTTGAAACTGACATCATTGCTTTTCAAGACTTTGGAGAGGTCCCCGACAGTACATCTTTTTTCAGTGCTCAATGACTCATTGTTGATTGTGGATTCAAGTAAGATTTAGTAGTTGACATTTTCAGCGTTTTCCCCTCATCATGATACTTCCTATTGGCTTGGTGGTAAGGATTATCTGAACGTTGAGGTGAAATCCATATTGAAGCATATAGTCCCTGATTTTCTGCAGCAAGAGTTTTAAGGCCTCGCTTTCAGCAAGCAAGGTTGTGACATCTGCATAATTACAGCTTGTTGATGAGTCTTCCTTCAATCTTGATGCCACATTCTTCATAAAGTTTAGCTTCTTGTGTGATTTGTTCAGCATACAGATTTAACAGGCATGGAGAAAAGAATACAGCTGACCCACATCCTTCTTGATGGTAAACCGTGCACCCTTGTTCTGTGACTCATATCAGCTGCTAGTTTTTCTGCCTCTGAACAGCTGTTGGATTGAAACCATTGACCTTCTGACACAGAGCCATCAGAGCTCCTTATTTTTACTGGGTGAAAGACATACCTTGTAGGGTAAGTTGTGAAGAACCACATATAGTGCTTGAACAGTATGAAGCACCTTGTAAATATTCTCATCAGTGGTAATTGGTAGTATTAATAATCACAGTCATTATCACACCCTTTGTCCTTATTGTCCTCATGCCTACTGCCGATCATCTTCGCTCCCATCAGGGCTTGTGACTTTCTTGTACCTGGGACTATGTTTGTTACATCCTAAGTGCTTAATAAACACTTTCTCAGTGAATGAAAGAAAACCTTGAGTAAAATGATCATGAGACATTGCTGTTATAAGGTGTCATTTTAATTATAGTATGATAACCTCTTCTGTTCTCTCCCCCATCTCCATTTTCCCTTTTTTCACAGGTTATAAAATTCCTGTTATTGAAAATCTAGGTGCTACCTTAGACCAGTTTGATGCTATTGACTTTTCTGACAATGAAATCAGAAAACTGGATGGCTTTCCTCTGTTGAGAAGACTAAAAACATTATTAGTGAACAACAACAGAATATGGTATGTTTTGGTTAAGTGACTTTCTCTTACCCCATGTTGTTGGCCTTTTTTTATTTCTTTAATTCACCTGATTTCTAGAACTCAGGAGAGAATAAGTGAAAGTCTTTGGGAAGTGACAATGGGTGGTATGGTTGTGATTTTTAAATAGGTACTTAGATGAACCATTATTTTTAGTGTAACATTGCATATCTTGTAGCTGAATTGTGAGTGCAACACCTTGGTATTTTTGTGCTACTTGGAACAACTCTGTAGTCCTTTTACTTCAGAGTCTTTTTTGGGGCATTCACTAGGCACTGTGGTAATGGAAAAAGCTTCAGGAGAATTCTGAAGACATTACAGTCATTTGGTAACCTCACTGCCTTCAACAATGTTTCCTGTTTGTGCTTCAGTTCTCCTATGTAAAACAGGATGTGGGGAATGGCCTCTAGGTTCCAGGTGCTCTGGTAGGGCAGTCACACTGTTAGGAATTGCATGGCAAATCCATGTGCCACACCTCTCTGGCAGTTTTAATCCACTAGGCCTTCTGAGAAAGAAAGATGGCCTGTCTCCTCCCATGCACTGTACAGCCTCTGAATGCCTGCTGGAGGGTCGGTTCAAGTCTACTACAATGAGTTTTGAGTGAGGGTTCCTGCTAGTACACAACCCTGAAACCCTTGGAATAAGGATTTAGATCCAGTTGTTAGCTTACATGATGTTCCCTTCTACTACGAGTTGTTCTGTTTCTCTTTTAGCCGCATAGGTGAGGGACTTGACCATTCCCTACCATGTCTGACAGAGCTCATTCTCACCAACAACAGTCTTGTGGAGCTGGTAAGTTGAACAAGGAAAATAGATTGGAGAGAGGGTCTGATGGTACAAGACAAAATTTGGAAAATGAGTTATAGCATCTTTTTTTTTTTTTAGTTAATTAAGCATCTGGGTGGTTTTATTACATGTCTCCTGCTACTCTGTCATTTCGTTTTTAGAGGAATTCCTAATTTAAGTGTTTTTACCCAAATTATCAAGCTTTCCACTTATTGTTGGTGCTTTTGGTGTTCTATTTCCTAACCCCAAGTATCATTACGAATCTCTTTTATGTGGTTTCTTGAACGTTAGTATCTAGGGTGGTAGGTGCTAACTAAAACCAAACCTGCTGAGTCGGTTGCCATTCTTAGCAACCTGCAGTGTGCTGGGTAGAGCTACTACAAACCTAGGATTTCCAAGGCTGTTAATGTTTCCCAAAGCGGGGTTGAGGTTGGGTGCCATTTATTCTATTAACGTTTCAGTGCCTAAACCGCTGACTACCAGTGATTATTTTAGTCATGTATGGCTAGTTGGAATTGATTTATTCTAGCAGTATGAAATACACATTGCACTTTGAAAATACTTTTTCAGTACATGTTGAAATGATATTCTAGATACCGAGTTAAATTATTGTCGTTGTTGTTATGTGCCGTCAAGTCCCTTGTGACTCATAGCAACCCTATGTATGCAGCCCTAAACACTGTTTTGTCCTGTGCCAATCTCACTGTCTCTGACACACTCATCCCGATTACACCAGTCACCGAATCAATCCATCTCCTAGAGGGCCTTCCCCTCCTACGCCTGCCCTCCACTCTCCCAAGCATGATGTCCTGCTCCAAGTTCCAGTCTCTCTTTACAACATGACCAGAGTATATCAGACGAAGCCTCAGAATTCTTGCCTCCAAGGAGCTGCCCGGTTTAACCCTCTCCAGGATGAACTTGTTTGTTTTCTTAGCAGTCCATGGTACATTCAATATTCTTCTCCAACACCAAAGTTCAAAGGCATCAATTATCCTTCTATCCTCCCTAGTCATTATCCAACTCTCTGAC